TATAAACCCCAAGGAAAACCTATCAACTCTAAATTACTTTCTGTCTATGGCAAGATAAGTGCACTGGATTGTTAGACAGTACTTCAAAACCTATACAATAATCATAAATTCACTTTTCAAACACAAAATAACTCCTCCAATTCCTATGAAAATACCCAAAAATATCACCAAATTGCAATTAATCAAGCAAAATACATAAAAATTCACAATAACACTGGATAAGGGAAAAAAGGTGACAAATCCTTTCTAAGACCAATTTTAGAAAGATGTATGTGTATCTAAGTAATTATACAGCTAGCAGCATTAAAAAATATAAAAAAGAAAAAAATAAAAGTTCCCATTAAATGTATAAGAACAGTCTAAAACTTAGGGAATCTTTAAATCTTTACTTTGACATTAGTTTATTGGGTGATCCTAGGCATGTTCTTTAGGATTAAGAGACTACCTACGTAACCCTGTCAGTATTTCATTTAAACTGCTTTAGGAGGGTAATAACCAACCTTTGAGGCAACAATTAACTGATTAAAAAACTTAGACCAGATGGAAAACCCTCAAAAAGCTGGATTAAATTAGTTTGCGTTCAGGATTAATCGACAGTTGAGTTCCAGAGTCAATGTTCGCAATTTATTAATCCAACTTGAAACTTAAAAGATTTTAATTAGAGATCCTTAATATTAAAATCTTAATGTTCTAGGCAGAAACATCTTGTCTGATTTCAAGGTTTACAGAGATATGTGACTTTTGACATAACTGTGAATGTCTACTTTGGTTTATGAAATAAAATCTTAACATTTAATTTAAAACCCACAAACAACTAAACCCTCAACCCCAAAACTTGTCTGCTCTCCCTATTTCTTAAGCTAAAATAAGGAATTGTAATCTTTCAGACTACATTTGATATCACACATTTTTTTTAAATTAAGCAAATTCACACACAAAACCTAGTATTAGTTGCTGATATGTTTGTAGATAATTGTTTAATATGAGTAGGTTCACTGTGAGTTCCAGTTTTTCATCAAATAATAAGCTTTTGTTTTCTGACATTCTGTGCAACCAACTTCTCACATTCCTGGGTTAATGGAAAAATTCAACAGTGGAATTTTCACCTGTGCATTGTCCTTTCCAATAATGTGTATTCATGTGCACTAGATTAAACTACACATTTTCAATGAATGAAAAGGCTTTGCAGTTATGTAGCATAAAGAAGACAGAGTGACTCATCAAATAGAAGTATAAAAACAAATTCACCAGACATCTATTTACTGTTTTGATTCCCAAGCTCTCAAAAATCAAGATCCACCAAGAAGTATATATAGAGCTATGTTAGTGTGTAAATCCTTGAAATTGTCTCCATGCTCCAACCTCCAAAACTTGACTTTCAAAAAACATGTCCCCACTCTCCAGATAGTCAGTGTCCTGAAGCAGACATTGGTGAAACTAGAAAATTCCTGATGAAAACTGAGAGAAAAAAATCACTTCAGATTACCACCTTAAATATAATACAATGCTTTTGGTTTTTTTTTCACTTGGGGCAAAAAGACCTCCAAAAAGTCAAACAAAAAAACAAACAATAAAACTACACCAAGGGAAAAAAAAACCAAAACTAAAAACTTTGTTTTTTGTTTCATGTCCCCACAAAAGTAGGAAAAAAGAGACAGATTTTCTCTCCCTGTTATCTTTAATTTTTAGGGTGTACAAGTTCTTCCCTTCTAACCCTTGTTTATAGCTCACTCCTTTGGTAGTCATGATCAAACATCATTCCAATTCTGCTATGCTCTTTCATTCAGGAATAAAAAGCTGGAAAAGGTATACACAAGAGACTGCACCTGTAGAATGCCGCTGAATTAATTAGAATATGCCTGACCAATCACTCTAAAGAAAAAATCCCAAGTTATGACCAACTTAAACCCATTTAACTACATTAATTTGCTGTACTTGAGGCCCATTTCATTACAACATTAAATTTCCAATTTTTTTCCATAGATTAAACCAATCTGTGAATATAAAATATATACATAAATATAAATATATAAGCTATATAAGTATAGCTTTCAGGGAGCTGACTTAAAAGTATCTCAGGTAGAGAAATATACACACCAAAATCAAGAGATATCTAAAAAAAAAAAAAGTTTTTTTAAAGCTGCTGCAAAGCATTTGGTAGAAATTTATTCCCTGCTAATGCAATCTCTGCAGGGTTAGAAACTGTAACATTTTCATCCTTTTTTTTGCTTTGTCCACAGGGGTAATTTATATGTTACTGAGCTGGTGAGGAAGAAAGAGGAATAATACAAAAATTGTTTCAGAATATTGAGAGCAAGGTTCACATCTTATTCTATCTGTCTCAAAACTTAGTTACAGTTTGCAATCAAAATTTTCACTATTGATAAACTTGACACAGTTACCTTGGGGCAGTAAAGTGCATGTTAGAATATCAACTCTCTTACTGTGCTGCATGCGTAACCAGGCAAACCCACAATTCTGTCTGTCAATCATAAAAGGAATGAGAAAAATAAACTCTGTAGTACCCAGGAATAAAATAATCTTCCTAGAGGTTACTTTTCATAATCCCTATCAATTATTAGAATTTTTAAAGTGTAAATCCTGTCTTAAGAAAAAGAAAATTAATATATGTGAAATAACAGTGAATGTTCTTATTATCCACATGTGTCTAATCCTTCACTGAATCTTGCTAAGCTCTTGGCCTCAATTATATCTTAAGACAATGAGTTTTTAATGTATCAATTTCCATTTACACTAATTTTTTTTCATTGTATAATGACAAAGGTTAAAAGAACTAGATTCAGATTTACCTGTAATTTCTGAATCTCTATAGCTTTATAGGCATCTCTACATTAACGAATTAAAATGAGGCAATACTAGGGTTTTGAAGATAATCCTGCCCTTATGCCCCTTTTCTGCATTTGGTTTGCAGACTGTTTTTGCAGAGCAGCTTTTCTCTTTTGCACATATTCCCTTGGGGGGAAGCCTAGCAGGAATCTCACCAGAAGAGCCAAATATTCTCTCCTGTTCCAAGGGGGCGTCAAGCTGTGAATTGGGTCATGGTCACACAGCCAATGAGTACCATGACACAGACTCTGTTCACATGCCAACAACAAGGCTCTTGAGCTACTCTGACCACCTGAAGTGGTGCTCGTGTGTCATAAAAGGGGCAAGCACTGCACGCAGCGTCTTCTAGCCTTCTGCTCATAAGCCTGGAACTGCTCTTCCATCTCAGAGACCTTGGTCATCACTTGAACTGAGAGAGTTTTGCCCACTCAGATCTGGTTTGCCACTTCATGATAAGTCATGGGCTGTAAAATTCACCTGAAGAGCAGCTCTCCCCCACTCTCGATTCGAAGATGAATGTAGGCTCTGAAACTTGGAAGGGAGGATGCCAAAAAACAGCTGATGGCAGGGCACCTGAGCTTTTCCCTCACCACCAAACATTTCTGCATAAACTGGGACAGTTATTCAATAAACTCACTAGAAAGGAAGAACTGGCAAATACTGTTTTACTTTTCAAACTGGAGTATAACAGAACAGGCAATCCAGAGTACTGCATTACTTGCTGCAGTCAAAGGATGAACACTCCACTCTGACACTTTCTGTGGAAATTGAGAAAAAAAAAGAACAGTTGGTTGGGCAGCAGCCACCACACAACGGAATTTTGAAATGTTGTTTAACAGCAGAAACATCATGAATATAAATTATATTTTATTCTTATATGGATATAAAGGTAAAGGCAGTAGGAACACACAAATGCAATCTGCTAATTATCCACATAAAATAGATTAAATGAAACTGTGATTCCTAAGCAGATATGTGGAAGTGTGTGTAGTCAAAGAAACAAGGGTTTACTGAGTAAGTTTTCATCAGAGATCTTGAAACCATATGTATATAGGCACATTTCACCCAAGTATCCAGATTTATCTAATGTAGACTCCATGAACCACGTACAACAGTAAGATTAGGAACAACAGAACCGTCTATTTTACCTAATGATCTGCTCCTTTTTAATCAGGAGGAAAAGATTTAGTGACAGCTAATTCAAACATAACCTGCATCAGCACCTCTCTGTGGTCAAAATATCAGTCTTCCCATTTTCTGGAGATCCTCTGTGCCTTTATTCATGGCACAAAATCCTGAAACATTTTAATTTAATATCTACCTCTTTTCCATAAATAGAATGAGAACCAAGCAATCAATTTCAGATGCAGATGTCTCATAATGGAAAAGATTGTACTACTATTACTATTAGTTTATATTTTTTTCCACATCTGTCTTTTTTATTATGACAGTACTGTCATATTTTCTTCTAGATATGCAGAGTAATTTTAAACAAACTTCTAGATCCATGCTGAAGACTCTTGTATTTCTCCAGTTTATGTTAACTGACAGTTTTCAGTAAAGTATTCTTTCCAATATGAACCATCTGGCATGTCTATGCTAGTTTTACTTGCCATGATGATATTCATGTAATTTATGTGGGCCACTCAATTATGCTGATTACGACTTGGAGCAGTGTTTTTTTCACAGTGCCCAGTATAGGGGCAATGGTTTGAATTTTTTCCGAAAACAGTGTTGATAACAGGTGTATTTTTGTTCTTGCTGGGCACTACTTGCACAGAAGCAAGGCCTCTCATGCTCCTTGTGCCGCACCACCATCGAGGAGGCTGCAGGTGCACAAAAATCTGGGAGAGGACACAGGACCAGTGACCCCAAGTGACAAAGGGGATATCCCAGATCATGTGCCACCATGCTCAGTATGTGGAGGGAAGAAGGAGAGAGGGCAAACATTGGCAGTGTGGTGCTCTTCTTCCCAAGTCACCATTGCCCGGTGGGGCCCTGCTCTCCTGGCAATGGCTGAACACCTCCCTGCCCTTGGGAAGAGGTGAATGAATTCCTCGTTTTGCTTTGCTCGTGTGCTCAGCTTTGGCTTTCCCCATTAAACTGCCCTTAGCACAACCCACAGGTTTCCTCACTTTCACTGTGCTGGTTCTCTCCCCCAACCTGTGGGTGTGGTGGGTGGCAGCAGGTGTTTAACCACAGAGGTCACCCATCCAGTCTGACTTTTCCTTTTGTTTCATTGACTCTTTCACTGATCACTTGCTTTTGCACATTACTCACAATTGGCAAGCAGCTTTACTGCTATGGAATCAAAAGGCATATTTCATTTTTCACAGGTAGAAGGGTTCTTTTTTTTATTTTCGATCTGCTACAATTGCATCTTATACCTCCACGTTGTACTGTATTGCATTTTATTTTCCTTAATCTATTATTTTGCAGTACATCAAAGTCAAAGAAAAAAAAAAGGAATTGTCATCTTTTCTGAGCACACTTGAGTGATTTGTCAAATACTGCTGGTTCTAAACCTTATTTTACTTCCATCAAAGACTACATTTTACCCCACTAATTTTTTTTCCTTTTTTTTTCTCTAGGTATGGCTTCAGTTGAATTCCCACCTTTTCACAGAAGCTGAACTAACCTGACCTCTTAAAGGCTCTGTCAAGTCTTTCAGATGCCATTGGTGACATCCGGAAGTTGCAACTATATTTTGTAAGTGTAAAGAATAATCTTCCTTTTAGACACAGTCTGTAGTCATGCACCAATCTGGATTCATGCTTTTTCATGTTTAATGAAAATGTCAGATTAACATAGTTTAAAGCATTTATAATAGTGTGACTAAGGAGATATCTAAGTATTTATTATATGTACTTAACCCTTACGTGTTGTTGAAAGTGATATGTCTTAAATTACAGCAATTTTGTGCTGGCAGTGAGGTACTCTCTTACAGGACATTACATAAATTGTAAATGTCTTCCCAAAGCATGATCATCAATCAAAACTAGCAATGATAATGTTGCCAGCAAAATTAGAAACAAGCTGTCAAGAAGCAAATACAAAAATCATTATGGAAGAAACTCAAATTTATGTTTAGCTCTGAAAATTACTTTTCTCCATCAAAGGAAGATAATACTTTTTTGTATTTTCTGTCACATTTGGGGACATTTCCTAATAAAAATTTAATATTAAAAAAATTAGTGAAATTGTTACTGCATTTACTTCATAGATCTATTATTAACCAGTGGAAGCCTGGTTAAAAAAAAAAAAGCAGGAAGAAAAGGAATGACTATGGGGTATCACTTGTCATCACACTCTTCAGATAATTCTAAAAAGAATATAGAAACATTATTTGCAAATTAAAAAAAAAAGAAAGAAAATGAAAAGACATTGATTCATTCTCTTCTCCCACCAACTGTAAAAACAGTTTTGATTAAAAAGATCAAATTTTCAAAATTCCGTGAAAGAAAGAATCCAAACTGATCCTCTGCAATTAATAAAACAATAATTTTGGAGACTCAAACTACTGTCCATCAAATTGGCATTGAGAAATGATTAAGCATTAAATATGAGAGGTGTAAATTTTTTTTCTTGTTTCAAAATGTCTTTTTTCTTACAACTTTACTGCTACGTATACTATAAAATGTCATTTAAGCTAAAAGAAGGGGAAAGAAAAAGTAAAAGTTAAAAGAAAAAAAATAGAAGGATAATTATTATACTTGTTACACCTATCACTTGAAAAACAGTTTATGAGGCTTGACATTTTTCATGGCCTTAAATAATTGACTGCAGACTAAAAGGCTGAGCAAATATGATTAGTCAATTAATAAATGTTATTGATTTAAAAACATAACATTACACAGTGGTAGAACCATCTATTTTACATGACATAATTGTATACGTTCTAAGTGAACATTGCTCCCGAAAATTCCTTTCTCCCTTAAAAATTAAAATAAATTGCAATAATAATTTCTTAATGAAGCATGTACAAATATTCAGTTTCTTTTTGGATTACTAGCTAGCTAGCATACTCCATGCCTAATGGGTTGTTCAATCATATTAAGATCAATTTCACCTTTCCAATGTGATATGCAAAGTTATGACTTCTTTTTAAATTTGCAACCTTCTCTGTAGTGCTTTATTAAAATAAATATCTATTAAGAAGCTGAAACATTTTGCAAACGTGTGCCTATACTTAAAATAAGTAATAAAGTAATCATATAAAATAAGTTCAGTGAACTCATTTTTGGAAGATCTGCTAGCATTAGCTTTAAAAAAGATGAAAACAAAACCTAAAAGAAAACAATTTAAAGAAAAAAATAAGCAAAGACAAATTACCCTGTTACCATTGCTGCAGTTTGTATCTCAGTTGCAGAGATGTAACTTTTGAACTCATATCAGTTTTACATATTGAGGAAGATTAAATGTCTTCTCACTTCTTTCCAAAGTAAAAAGTGTAGTAGTTACACTACACTGCCAGTGAAAGATGAGAGGAATGATCGTATCTGACTTTCATTATAATGCTGTCTTTGCGATAACAGCTCTTTACCAAACATTCATACAGTAACCTTATATCTAGAAATCTTAAATTGAATGGCTATGGAGTGATGTTGCACACTGACAACTACTATAGCATGATTTAGCTAACCAACATCAATTTCCTCCCGGCCCACAAAGCAAAATCCATCCAGACTTTATGTTGAAACATCTACAAAGAGTAGCCCAAGATAATACAAAACCAATGAAAAAAAGTGCCAAAACACTCTATAGAACCAATAAATAAATACACAAAAAATTAAACAGTGAACAAGTAGGATTACTTAAAAAGGTGAAATCAAAGAAATCACCCTCCAATCAGATTGTTAAAGATATTCTTTCCACCTAAATCTTCTTATTAACAGTGCCATTATATTCTGATGTCTGGAGTTACATTTGCATCATTGATGCAAATTTCCCATTTTCTAAGTAATAGCTTTTCAAGTCATATTGTCTGGTTCTTGCCTTTTTGACACACCGACTGCATAAGTTTAGACTCAGACAAAGGGGTGTGGCATATTGTTTCATTTACTTGCCCTGTACAGATGATTTAGACTCATATACATAATAAACCACCAATATTTAGTTGAATTCTTGGCCTACTTCTTCTCCACAATTTGTACCCTTCTTGTAGTGCCTAGTCTTATATTGCAGAGCACAGGCAGTGTTCTCCTTGTCTTGTAGAGGGATGACTACAGAAGGGCTGTGCTCTTGGAAGAATGTCTGAGCACTTTGGTGCTGAAGATTTTTCACTTCCATACTGCTCCTAGGGTATTTCTTCCCCTAACAAACCTTTGTCATCTCACCTGATTTGCAGCCAATGGATGTGATTTCTTTGTGTTTATCTGTAGAACACGGTGGGCACTAATATTTCTTGTAAGTGCACCAATTGCCAACACCATCATAATGAGGTGCAAAAATAACTGCTTCATTTCTATTTGACAATTTTCTTTTTGTTCTGTTAAACAGGTTTTAAAAAACAGTATTATGTATTTGTTCCTACAGTGCGGTTATGTAATGCATGTAACCTAATGCTTTAAACACCTCTTTCAAATCAAAGAACAGTAACTTTGGAAAATATGTACTTTCATGGACTGTTGATGACATTTTTAGCATCTCTTAATGAAATTGTGATTCCTATTTTGTTCTCTAAGTTCTGAGATAGATGATCAGTGAGGTTTGTAATGGTTTAGGTTCCACTCTGTCTAACCCTAAATAGAGTTATTAGCATAATTTTTTTTTCTCCAAAGGGCATGAAAAAGTTAGAAGAGTAAGACCTTCACCAGAATTGTGAAACAGAAGGAACGACTGAAAGGTGATTGAATGACACAGACAGTAAAAGGAAGCTACAAAACAGAGATACTGTGATTGTTCTATTTTAAAAAGTAGGGGTTGTGGGGTTTTGGCACCTGGCAAAATGGATTTTTTTGTATCTGGAGAGATAATCACTGAAAGACTGAATAATACATAATGGCTAATAGATACAACCCATGAGACAAAGTGCAGTGGTTCTGTGAAGTGTAACAGTAGTTGAAAGTTAAAACCACCCATGCAGTCACCCAGCAGCCTCTGATAAACCATCTAGACAATAATTTTGGTGTGTATAAATTCTATAGAAAAAATCTATTTCCACAGCAACTGGTGGCTGCAGAGTATTTCCACAATTTTAAAGGGAGTAAAAAGGGAAAATATTTTGAACGTATGGTGGAATTGAATAAATTGACAATGTCCTGTCAGTTTTATATAAGGTTCTGGTGAGGTCAGAAATTTATAGTACTCATGGTGGAATCTCTTCCTGGGCAGTAAACAGAATGGACCTATCCAAAATCTTTTGCTCAGTGAATCTGATCTGGTGAGAAAATACATTGCAACATTGGTGCTTTGGAGAATTCTTAATATTGAAGAGGCCAAGTTGTTGCCCAGTAACCCCCAAAAGATGAATTCAGGCGTTGCAGCAGAGACGATACCAAAAGTAGCAGGAAATTCCATGTTTATCCCACCTGATATCTCCACCCTCTGAACCTCATAAAATATTTTTCTTCTTCATTAGACATATATATTTATCACAATTATTTTCTCAGAATAGGGTGTTGCTTGACTTCCTATCTCTTTACCTATCACAACCATAACCATCACAATCATCATCATCATAGTGTTTCATTGCACTTAATCTATTTAGAATAGTTCAGAATCTTCTCATTCTTTCTTCTGCTTCCCAGATGCATTCTCTGGGACTAAAACCTCTCCTCAGACTTTGCCCAAAATCTTCTAGCTTGCCAAGTGAACACACAGTCACACAATAAAAGATAGAGAATAAAAACCCAAAAAATATGCCCAGTAAAAAATGCTGCAGGCCACAGAGTCCAAGCTAACACTGAGCATATGAGGGCCACAGATCAACTGGCAGAAACCTCAACAATTTAGAAAAAATGTTTGACAACAGTAGAAAAAGGAAAAATTACGAAGAAAGATGAACAGTGAAACAGAACCTTGTGATAAGTTTAAGTGAAAAAGCAGGTGAAGAAGAAACTGAACTTTCAGCTAGGTCAAGGAGAGGGATATACTCAGAATATCATCAAAGTCAAAGCAATTCTAAAAATCATTGAACAACGTTTAACAAAATATCACCAGCAGAAAAATGCAAAGATTCAAGCAGAGCTGCACTCCCCATGAAGCCATGATATCAAACAGGGCATGAGGACAACAAAGCAAAGACATCAATAGTGTGGAGCACTTGTTAGATCAGATGCAAAACTCACCCACTGCAAGGTCAGCACAGAGCTAAGGGAAATACCAGATAAAAAGTGAGTGTATTAGCTCTGCTAATCTCAGAACACTGTAAACTTTGTATAAGGGTAAAAGTATAAAAAATGGAATCATCTGCATGTGGAACAATGAGGAAAGAAGAGAAGAGAGGGAAAGAGAGATAGAAATAGGAAAAAAGCAGGGGAAAGGAGAAAGAGGTGAGGGGAAAAGGAAAATGGGAAAGGGAGGGAGGGAAAATTTTTGTAATGCAAAAAGTAATTAGTTTAATTTGGTAATTTTAGAATTATTTCCCATGAGAAAAATTAAAATCTTCAGAATAACATTGGTATTTATCCCAAGAGATAGGCAAATTCTTTATAAACACGAACATGATTTTTGCTTAAAGATCTCATTTATTTCTTATCCTGTCTTTTCACCAGGCTGAGTTTTCTGGCTGACTTAGGAAAAAAGGACATAGCCAGATGATGACATGAGAGAAACTAATGTTGTCTTTACAGTGATATGTCTCAGTAAATCTTATTCTTCTAAAAATCTGTGCAATGATTGTTAAAAACAAACACAATTTGAGTTCAGATGTGGAGACAATGAGAGAAAGAAACAATATGGCAATGAAGAACCAAAAAGAAGGTTTGCTGGAGAAATAGAAAAAGACAAGAAATAAGAAAATAAATAGAAACAGAAGTAGGGAAAAAGGACAATTTTGAAGAGCTCAACAAGATATGAGGCATTTCTACAAATAACCTGTAGGGCTATGTTTTTTGTGTTTGCAGTAGGACCGCTTTGGGCACAGAAGATCTCATGTGCAATATCAGATTATCAATAGCCAGTCCAGGGATCTTGCTGAACATTTGTATCAGCCAGCAGCAGCGTTTCCATGAAGGCAGCAGGCAGAGTCCATCTGGACTTCTAAGTGGGATCATTTCATGTTTAAGGACTATGATTTGAATTCAGGCCATTTCTGGCTAATGAAAAATACATGGTAGTTCATGGCATCAGTAAGATGATTTGCCCTGAGTTACTGTGTCATGCTATTGACAATGGGAAAAGACAAATCTTCTAATAAATACCTTCTTTAAATGCTGTCTTTCTAATGAAATAATCTATATGCAGTACTCCAAAAAATTTTATTTTAGCACGTTTCTGCTCAGCCATTAATGTAATGCTAATCACATTTGTTTGTCTGTCACCATCTAGACTATTGCAAATAAGAAACAATAAAAGGAAATGAGACTATATATGAAGGGGAGAGAAATAAATTTTGTTAAAGTTCTTCAAGCTAATAATAAACACTGTAGCAAAAAACTAAATGGAAGGAAAATGGAAGAACAAGAGAGAGTGACATGAAAAAATAGAACAATATAGAAAGCAGTAAGAGGTGAAAATGATACCCTGAAGCATGATTAAATATAAGACAGGATGTCAATAATTCATAAAAAGAAATGGCTACTTAGAAATGTAAAGCTTACCTCAGCTTGGTTTGGAGATATTGTCAGTATACAGGTGTGAAAGGGGTCTGTGATCTGCCAGTAATCAATCAGTGTTTTATATTTAAAAAAAAAAGAACTTGAATAATTTATACTGAATATTTCATTCTGCCTCTAAGAATTGAACATAGTACCTGGAAACAGCTGGGCCAATGATCTCATGACTAATAAGGAAGGTCCAGACCTGAGTGATGTCAATCTAATTCATATAGCCAGGAACATGGATGGTTGTGACAGTATTTGAAGATAAGAAGATGGAAATAAACGTCTACCCTGGACTGAGCAAAATGTGAAGGCTGTCAAAAGAGATGTTGGCAGTGTGCCCTATCTGTGTGGGGATATATTACCAGTTATGGATCTAGACTCTCTAAACTCTCAAATTAGGACCAATATTTTCATTTAAACTTTCCCTTCTCATCAGGTAAGGCATTATGTGTTCAGAAAGAAACAAAATGGAATATTGTTTGCAGACAGGTAATGGTATAATCACTTGTCATTCTCTAAGAGAGCACTGGCAGGCTGGATGCAGAGTAAATCACAAAATGTTACCAACAGTCTAAAAAAGATATTCTCATTTAGCCTGTATTCTGAAAATATTTTGCTACTGAGACAGCTGCTTGTATGTATTTGTCCTGGAAAAAAAAAAAAACAAAAAAAAAAAACAAAAACCAAAGATAACCAAAAAACTTTCAAGGGTTACCAGAGCACATAAATCCCAGTCAGAAGAATGTGAAAAGAGGTATCCTGAAAATTACTCGAGTTGCAAGAGGACATGAAGACATTAGCACTTCATGAGGAAGGTCTCAGACTTCAGGAGCCTCCTCGTGTTACAGTTCCAGGAATGGTTGAGACATCAGTCAACCAAGAGAAGTGAAACCAAGGAAAGTGATGCTGTCCCCTCTCCTGGTTTCCCCTGGAACTCTCCCGGGGTGTTTTCTGTACTCAGTGCCATCACTTTGACCTCACCCTTTACAATAAATGCTTTCATTTTTATGATTATAAATATCTCTCACAGCTAAGGTAGCTGTAAAGAAGCAAAGCATGAACGTTGTCAATATATGTATTCAGCATTTGCTGTTGTTCTTCACCTAATTAAAGAGAGGTTTTAAAATACTTGATTTAGCTCATTATTTATGTTGTAGTTTTTGACAAAAATTAATTGTTCTGAGGGAGCAACTCAGAGTCCTAGAGAAAGTATTATGGTGACACAGTAAGTACATTTAATATTTTATTGCACATATTCCTGAGAAAATGTTTCTTTCGGATTTCTCTTTGATTTCTCTCTGGTTTTGGTGTTATATTAACAATTCCACAATGTATCTCTGAGCAGCAGTTTTGTGGGTGTCTTCATTTTTCTTGTCAATTCTTCTGCTTATCACATGTGAAACAAATGAAGAGCACCATGAAATTTGATAGCATGATATTTGTGCAGTGCTTATCTTAGAATAGTCTTTACTGCTCCTTGTTATTGCCCCCATTCTCCATCAAGCTAAGTAGAATATCAAAAATTTCAATTTTCCCAATATTAAACTATGTGACAAAAGTCCTCAAAATGAACCCTTTGAAAAAAATGCATTCCACCCGCTTTTATAACTTTTCTGCTTGAGACTCGTACTGACAGTCTCCTATCCCTCCAAGCTGCACTCTAAATTCATAAGCAGTTAGATTTTGCTTTCGATCCCTGAGCAGATTTCAAGTTAAATATTGCTTTCAAACCATCTAATCACAACAACCACTTGGTCTGCTTCCTTCCATGCTGAGGGAGACTTTTCAATTTTATTTGGTGTTTAAGTTTATCATGGCACAAATCTCTTCCATCGGTGCTCAAGAAGTGTAAATGTTGGCCTGCTAGATCATTTTAGCACCTATTGAGGCATACTTGTTTTCTGAGAGATAAAAAAATAAATAAATAAATAAAACAGGTGAACAGAATGCTTCAGATGATTCATAAACATGTGAGCTATAGTTTCTGGGTTGTTTTTGGTTGGTTGCTTTGCTTGTGGGTTGTTTTCATGTTCTCAAAAACTGTCTCAAAGTCTTTTCCTGAAATCAGGTTTGCCAGTCACTTTCAGACGAGTCATGTTGATGCACATGTTAGGGAAAATTCTTACTGGCATGTTGAAAGAGACTGCTTTTTTCCCAGCAGGAAAGGTGTTGTGGAATTAACTCTTTCTAAGTCAAATATTTAACCTCCAAACCATTAGAAAGAAAGGCTTCTTTTACCAAGGTGCAAGACATAGATCATCTACAGACTATATTGGCTTTTTTAACATATTATCAGAAAGAAGGATATTGTCAGAAATCTATTTAATGGAAAAATCATGGATTTGGTGATGGTTTGTATAAATCACAATTAAAATTTAAGGGACTCAAAGTGTTATTTATTAAATTCATAGCAAAAGGTATACTGAATCAGCTGAGATGAGACATGAGTATCCATGAGTGTTCAACATTAATCATTCTGCTAATAGAGAAGAAACAAAATTTGCTTTCAGAAAATTTATGACTGACCAGATAAACTATGTGTATAAGAAAATATTTATTAGTGTTATTTATCATCTTTTGAATTAATTTCTTGCTTTTCCTGAACTGTAACACCTTCTTGTGAATAGTATGTCCTAGAAATGTATTTAAAAAAAAACTCCACTTAATCTCGTTATAAGAAACCCTGTGGTTTCTCTCATATTACTGACCTAAGGTCAAATGGCATAACCTGATACAATTTCATTTTCTATATGGTCTTAGTTAAAAAAAATATAGTTTATCTTCTATTCATATCCCTGCAAATGCGTCCTCCTGCATTTCCTTCTTTCACTTCCTGTCTTGTTCCCCAAAAATGCAGTTAGATACTTTGAGCTAACAAATGAAATACATCTATAATAGTCTGAAGACTTTACCATGAATCATCATACACAGCTATAATCAATGTGTAACCATTACTCTAAGTCCTTTATAACCAGCTCTCAGAGCTGGACCAGTAGTTGTAACTGATGGATTCTTACTTGATCTTTAGCATAAAAATGTCTGTAATATCTATATCTATAAAAAAAAATCTCAATCTTATCTATAAAGGACTTTTATTTTTTTTCTCCTTTAAATCTTTGTGAATTACTTATTTTCCCATCTACACCAATGGAAACCATTTTTCACAGCTAAACTTTTAAGTGTGTGACGAATTCTTTTGTGTTTGCACTTAGCCACATGCATAAGTCTTCAGCATAATGTAAAATTTTCAGTTCTTCTAAAAGCAGGAAATAAATTTTCTTGTTTCTACATGTATAGTGCTTTGCCTTTTTTTCCATATGGATTCTAATCCATAACTGGGGATTATAGAAATATAAAAGCTTAATGAACATCAGCGTATCCAATGTCAGAATTAATTTAATTCATAATGAAATCCTGCAGCAGGACAATGGCTATCTAGAGGAACTAAAGCCTGGGAAAATCAAACTGCCTTATCACTTGACTGTTTTTGTCAGTCAGATTTGTCCTCAGAACACTATAGTTCATTGAAAGCTCAGACTAACTTAAATTTCTAATATTCTGTCATTTTTTCAAATGGGGTCAAGGATACTGCTCAGTTCTTATGGGCCTTAAATAGTCATTGTATGTTAACTTCAGGCACTAACATGAAATGGTTTGGAAACCAAGATATCAGAGAAACTCCGTTTTGTTGATGATCCCTTGAGTCATCAAAATGCCTTAGAACACCACTTTTCTAAGATAATAAATCCACTGGAGAATTATCTAAACCCACCAATTCTCATTAGGATTTTTTATTAATTTTATGTCTGCTGCACTGATAATAACAGCACATTAAATTTAAAAAAAATATTCAACCCATCCTATGGGACCATGTATTAAACATAATATCTGAGGCTTATCCTTTTGACTGTCAGGTTTAATATCAATAAATAATATTCAAGCTCAATTACCCGTTGATAACATATTGCAGCACATTATAGATTTCCAACATTGACTACTAGGATTGCAAGTCCCCAGCAGCAAATAACATCAGAATGAAAAAGGTTTTGTGTCTGTTCTCTGGTTTGTGCACTTCTAGGAATTGATAGGAAACTTTTTGTCCCATAGATTTACCTCCCTTGGTACAGGACATGCAGAATTCCTACTGAAGGCACTGGAAGTCCTGGTAATCAGTACATACAAGATCACTCCCATGATATCACTTCAAATTCCTGAAAAAGTTTGGAAATAAAGAACTAAACTTATTCTAGTAGTCCTGGGAATTTGTCTCTTCCTGTGTTTCTGATTGCCTATTAGACAACGGTAGTCTTAATTTCCATTTAATTTTTATTCATGTAATTTTAAAATGCCATTTCTTTTAATCTAAGATGTTTGCTGGCAACTAAATTCTAATTGCTTGAAAAACAGGTTCCAGGGCAATTATTAAAGAAATCTTTGATTGCCTGAGGTGGATAGATATAATTTCCTAGACTGTACAAATTAATTATCATTGATCTGCTTGACATTCTGTGCCTATCTCTATATACGTGCATGTATATGCAAGATATATATATATATATATATGAGATATATATTTATATATACACACACACGTATATATATAACTTTAAATCTTGCTTAATAGCTGAGTGTTGTTAGAAGAGTTTCTGATCACGATGATTCATGGTACACATTGATAAGTTTTCTTGGTAAAAACTGACACTGATTAATAGATATGCTAAGTTCTTGGTATTATAAATGTGTCATACAAGCAGCAAATGCCTTTTGAAGGTAAAATAAAGTTGGGAATTCAAGGTCCTGAAACAGAAGGAGACTGGATAACTTAGTAGTTCTTCCTACTTCTCTACAATTTCACTCTGGAAATGTCTTTAACTTTTGATGTTATTTCTAGTAATGTGTTGGCATAAAGACCCCTAACACCAGACCATTTTTCTGTGCTGTATGTGAATTTCCTAATTGTCTTCAGAGGTGAGAGGTGAGTTACAGCATATGTACTTCATTTATTTTTCTAGACAAATATTAACTATTTAATGCTATTGTACATACTGACTTCTCACATTTATCTGCTGAATGGGCAGCATAAATAAAAGGTTACATTGCACAAGAATGAATTTCATGTAATGTAATCCTTTTTAATATGTCTCAGTATCTGCCATATCGTATTATTGCTCATTTCTAACACTTCATAAGCCCCCTGTTTTGTTTGTATTGTCATCTTTAGAATTTTTTTATTCCAGCAGGAAATATTTTAAGTACCTGAAATATCTCAAATATTCTCCAAGCTAAGACACTTTGGAGTGTAGGCAGTGGTAAAAGAGAATAACTTTCATATTCAAACATATTTTATGCTAATTTCTTGTGTCTTTGGCCATCAAATAAACAGATTTTTTGAGAATTTAAACTTTTGATGCCTAAGTTCTACACATAGCCTTGCATGGATTTGGTCTGAGTGAATTTGGTAAGGTCACAGAAGGAAACCAAGCAGGTCAGGAATTCTTTCCACTCCTAGACTGGTGACCCAAACACAAAAATGTTTTTTCTTAGTTCAGTTGAACTTGGTTTTTTATAAACTCTGTTTTGAATTTGCCAATTATGGCTACTTGCAATGGTGAATTTAAGGGGCCTATCCATTGATCAAACCTGTGATTAAACACTTTTCTATAAAACCCGCTGACAATCATCAAAACACGACAAGCTTTTAGACGCTCCCTGTCTATTGTAGAATCAATGCAAATGGTTTCCAGTCCATTGCAAAAGTGGCATTTTGGAACTTGCCTTATTTAATGCTCACTTGGAAAGCGGAAAAACTGTTTCCCAATAGTTTTTGTCTAATGCCTTGTGCCAGCTGTCTTTTACAAGGTTTCTAATCTGTCTCCATTCTGTATATTGTCTTTTAAGATCTGAAAAGGTCTTCTGAAGAATTGCTGATATTACTTGGGTTACACACACATAGATATGGGGTAAGCTTTGTAGATTCTGTTTTCTCAGTGACAGTCTGAACATTAAACAAATGCATTTTACTGTTTCAACTGCTTAGTTTCCTATCTCATTGGTTGGTTTCTATATTAAAAAAGAAACACCTTAAGAGATTTTCACAGTCAGAGATACTATATTTTTTTTCTAAGTTTCTAAGTTTTCATGCAAGCTTTTAATTTGGATTCTGTATACAGATTGTGATGGGCAGTCTTACTTGATATATGCCACAGTCAAATTTCAGTCTGACTATAACCTGATGGCTGTAGTTTGTTGGTTTGCCGTTTTCCTTCTTTTTCAGATTTATCAGACAAGTTCTTCTGTTCATATGTCCTGACTTTATTTGCTCTCATATGATGTTGTGGAGATCTTTTTGCTTGCTCTAATGTTTTTTCTTTCTTTGGCTGTCACAAACTCCATTTTGGGAAAAATGTCAGGCTTTGCTCAAGCTTTTCATGCCAGTGTAAACTTTCTTGTCTTGAGTCAGGCTATTTGAGTGATTTATGTCAAAACTTTTACTAGGTGTTTTATTTCAAAGTATTAATTTATTTTTCAATGAGAAATAATGCAAAGATGACCTGTAACTGTATTTATATAATTTATATTTTATTATTAATGTAACCATGGAAAATTCAATTTTGGAAAAAAAACAAAAAAACAAACAGATTTTGTTTCCTATTTATTCTGGGTTCATGTCCAAGTGTTTTGTCTTTTTTGTGGGGGGGTGAACAAAACAGTCTAAAGGTATGTGAAAGAAATTTCTAACTGAGATAAATTGACCTATTTCCATGTATACAGGCTATATAAATGAAAATGTAGAATTTGCAGTAGTCCAAAGAGGGGCCCCAATTTTTTTTTTAATGAAAATTGAAATTTTCATTGATAATGAATTATACACAATGAAATGCTATTTAACAAGTTGATTGCTTCTATTTAGTTGCCAGTCATAAGGATAGTGTTAACTTGAACCAGCAGGACTATTTTATCAACATAAGCTCTATGATTTTTCTCTGTATTTTTTATTTCTTTTCTCTTTCATTTCCTCTTTCATTTTCTACTGGCATAGTATTTTGTAGTAAGTGAAGCATGAACACTCATTTTCACTTACAAAGCAGACCATTTACCTTGGAATATAAAGACATTTAGTACATTTGCCACTGTGTTTTTCATGTAGCAGACATAAAATACAGTGTGATTACAGAGAAAAGATGTGGGCTACATACTTAACGCTTAATGTCTTAAACATTTTTTATGGAAATATATATTCTGTTCTGCCTTCTCTCCTCTTTATGACTATAGCATTGCAGAATAGATGCAAATTGTTGTCTTTAACTCTTTGAGAATATTTTTGACTGATGAAATTTCTAACAGCAGATTATCAACATATATTCTAGCTTTGAATCAATACTGGAAGAAAAGAAGCATAATAAGGCTTCTATTTTTGCTTTGTATAGTCAGGTATATTGTTTCTTAGATAGTAATTTGGCATAGGAGGTTCTTGTGCAGTTTGTGATACTGGAAATATTTATTTTTATCATTGTAAGTATCCTTATATGCATTTTCTATTTATTTTCCACAATGAAGGTGTTCTGCCCACAATACATATACATAATTTTATAAAGATCAATTCCAGTGAAGGACAGTCAGTGTCACTATTATCTACATTATTATAAGCTTTTTCTCCAAAGGCCCTGCCTGAGAACTCTGTACCAAAAGGCCTTTAGCCAGGTTTCAACATGATCTTCACTAACATTCACACAGGCTGATAAATAGGTGCAAAACTGGCTAAACTCTCAGACTGAAAGCTTATTTTCATCATTGGTTCAATGTCCAAATGGCAGCCATTCATGGATATGCATTGCAGCAAATACTGTTTGTTAACAACCCAGGTGATAGCGTGGTGTTCACCCTCACCCAGCTCGCAGACCATATCAAAATGGAGGAAGTGGTTTATTGCTACCTGAAGTGACTTCAAATAAATAAATAAATAAATAAATAAATAAGACATAAAAAGGCATAAAAATTACAAGCAAAAGGGAATGCAAAGCTCAATAGGATAAATATTCTCGTTCACCAGTACAAGCCAAGGCACACTGACTAAGAATTAGTTTTGCCAAAAAAAGACCAGGTAAACATCAACCTGCACCAAAGAGGGCCAATTTCATTGTTGGTTTAACCCCACCCAGCAGCTAGATACCACTCAGTCACTCCCAGTCCTGAGTGGAAATAAAAGTAAATACGCATGGCTTGAATTAAGAGCAGTTTAATAGTTGAAATGAACTAAAATATAATAATTATAATTATTATTTTATGTTAA